ATGAGTTTGATTATCCATCCTCCACGTTAACATCAACATTAGCTTTTAAGCGCCACCTAAACAACAACCACAATCAACTAAACCCAAATTGAGTCGATAGATTTCGATTTCCCGCCACAAACCTTTTCATCCTAATCTTAGAATTTTGTTTGTATTGTTTATCATTTTTCTTGTTTGACTCTCTATATTCATTTTTTATATCCGATTTCTTCTTTTCCCTCGTTTGTTGCTGCAATATGACAGCTGCTTTGTTACTTTGCACATGATTCATATTTTATGATTGCTATTTGTTTTTTCATATGTTTCATTTTATTGTTTGACTTGGACCCCTTTGAAAAACAGCTATTAGCCGAAAAGGGCAAGTCAATCCAATCCAATCCATGAGTGGTGAATAAATAAATCAAATCATATCAAAGTAAAATATAGTTATTTGTATGCATTTGATACTACCTGTACTTAAATTAAATATATTTAATGTTGTTATTAAGTGACAGTAATAATAATATTAAAGATTTATAAAGCGCTGGTATACAAATACAGTTTCTAAGCGCTTAACAAAACAAGTAAAATGAAAAGTACGGTTAAACTAAATATGTAATAAGGATCAACAAGAAACGTGAAATGAACAATGCGCTTAATTTAGACGAATTACTTAACTAACAATGTATAACAATAACATGATAATGAAAAAGAGAAAACATTTATTTGGCTATTTATCTCACATTATTCTCCCCTTAGGGGAGGACAGATTGAATCTGGACACGCCGTTGCTTTCACCCGACTCCTTCAATTGGCTATTAACAACACTTTTATCTTTACAATGATCCCAATATGTCTTTTTAAGGGAAAGAAAAAAAATCTCTTTCTTCCCACAAGGTCAGTGAGAAACCATCCTCTGGTTTGTTCATATGTTTCATTTCATGGTTTGATTTGGTCCTCTTTGAAAAACAGGTATTAGCCGAAAAGGGCATCCCATCCCAATCCAATCCATGAGTGGTGAATAAATAAATAAAATCATAAATACATAAACCGTCAAACCCAGGTTGAAATATATTGGCACGAGAGAGAAATCTTCGTTTGGAAATGTATGTTTGTTTTATTGAATAACGATATGCATGCAATATTTTTCATAATAATTGGAGGCATTTGCTATCTTATGGATTCAGGTCCTCTCGATTACATTCAGGTTGCCTTCGCGTCAGCTGAGAAGTCTCGATCACTGTTGTGTGCGTTTTACCGTGGGGAAAAGGGTTGTTATATTACGCGCACGTGAAAATGTTGAGATTCACGTGACAGCTTTTCCAACAAGTACCCTATGTTTATATAATAACATAAATATAAACATCCATGCTTGTATATTTGTTTCCTCAAGCCCCGACCCGTAACTATGTTCACTGTTCAGGAATTACTCAGAAAAGGAGGTTAATGTAGAACACAATTAGAACCTTCTACATGCCTGCGGGCAAAAAGGTATTGTGACATGTCTTGTCAGGAAAGGTATATATAAACGAGCTTTGACCCGGTGTTTTCCCCGAGTACCATTTATATTCATAAAAGGTTTATTTTGAAACATTCCAAATGTATACCCAATAAAAAAGCAAATTGTGATTGCTAGAAATCTACACATAGGTCAAATGCTATAGATTGTAAAAGCGGTGGTCATAAACTGATGCTGGTGAAGAGGTAATATGTGTTTTTGTAAATTAATTTACGCAAAATAGAGAAGATAATTTCTTTGTATAACACTGATTCGATATGTTGTGCACTTTAACTGAAAAGGTTGAGTGGAATGTTGTTGTTTTTGTCAAGCCACATTGCGGTATTGCGTAGTACATCAATTATGATTAGCTTTGTATTATTGTCATGTGTGTGTATGTGTGAGTACGCGTATGAGCGGGTTGTGTGTTAATGCGGGCCCATTGAGAATGAGAGAGGGAGGGGGGGGGGGTATAGTGACAGTGCCTGCAGTGTATACAGGATACTTCTCCTGGATCGATACGAGCTACTTTATTTTATACCGTTCCAAGCACTCTTGCCGTTTATGATTTTAGTATTAAAATGCATGAGATGAAGAGAAATGTATATAGAAATGTATATACAATCGAAACTGAAGTGTCCTGATATAGTCAACGCTATTCCTTCCAAAATGTTTGTATCAGAGTGAGACAAGTATTCTAATTTCGAATGCCTATGGCCAAGGCCGAAGGTACGCAGGGAAAAGGATATTCTTATATTGCAAACATTCTTTCGCGAAATGTTCACGATTGTATGGGCATGGATGTGCATCGAGTACAAAATGTACCACTTAGACTATGAAATTACCTAAATAAGGGTTTTGAGCGTTCGCTTGCCTGATCCTAATATAAATTACAAAGTGTAGGTCGAATACATTTCCCTTCTGACACCTTGATGTATATCCTGCAATCAAACGTTTAACAATGGTTTTGGGTTTTTTAATTTGAATTTTTTTTCAAAAAGGTACCTTATTGTAATGGGTTTTTTCTTTTCTGTTCCGTATGTGTGCGTGTGTGCGCGTGTGTTTGCTTGTGTGTGTGTGCGTGCGTATATGTGCGTGTTTATCTCAATTGTTTCCCTAAGTAGACCCTTGTTTACATATCAAGCTTTAATAATTCTACTTGTGTATCTTTTTTCCTGTTTTTCTTCTTCTCTTTTCTTCTCTATTACTTTTTCTACGTCGCGTTTATAACTGTGTATAAGTAATTTCCATTTAATGCCATTATCTTCTGTTTCTGTTATTTTCAATGTCCATGATTTTCGTTTATGCATGCCCCTTTTTGTACAATCCAATTTTTTTCTTCCTTTAAAATAATAGTCGTTTAATTTTGCCGTATTTTGGAAGATGAATATTACTGAATTGTAATTTAAATGTAGATCAAATCATGCAAGGAAAAAAGTTTAGAATATAACTAAAAGTGCTTATTGTTATCCACAAATATGGGATGTGTTGCTTCTTCAAATGAAAATTCTACATTGATTGCAAAATTGAGGGATCTTGGTTAATGAGGGGGCAAGAAAACTCAAATAGTCAATAAAACATTAATTTGATTAAATCTTACAGTAAAACAACAACTTGTTTTTTTAATCAACTGACCTCAAAGGTCTCACTAATACAAGTTGGTAGATCACTGCAGACTTTGTCAAAAGTAATTTTTTCTTTCTTATGGGATGCCAGGCAGTAAAGCCTCTTGCGAAGATGAGCTTCAAAGCATTATCTTTTCATTCAGAGGGCCGTCGCACTCTTAGCAAATCACTTCAGCGTATCTTTGGATCTCTATATCCATTCATTATAAATGGATTGTCCCCACTGCTACACTTTGTATCTTATATCAGCATCGTCATTTATGCTTCAGCTGTCACTTGTCACTTGTTTATATTCACTTTGTGAGCACGACCTCGTGACAGTGCGCACCACATCTGCTTGGGGCAAGGCACTGTAGGAGCAAGTATTTGGGCAACATGGCGTGATGGAAGTGGAAATAGCTCTTAGTAGCAACCTATTTCAGCAGGTCCATCTATTCCACTGAATTGCAGTGTCAAGAATATCGACGTTTGAATAACCTCTTTCATCCAATCACGCAATTAAATAATAAATCATCGCTTAAAGGTACTATTTCATTTTTTTTTATATGAAAGGACAAATAGGAAAATATACGCTATCAAATAAATAAATAAATCGCATGCGGAAATATTTCTCTAGAAAGTTATATTTTACGGGCAATTTTCACATTCCCTTTTGTTCTTTGTTTTAAAAAATGCGTTTCCGAAATGTACTCTTAAGACAAAGAACTACAAAAAACCTTTTAATCAATCACGGAAAATCCCTGTCTGAAATCCTAAACACATCTCCTTACATTTATGAAATGATTTATTCACAATTGAACTCTATATTTTTATTTTTACGCAATAGATATTACATGGTAATCTTAAAGGGATCGAAGTTCTACTTAAAAGCAAGCACAATCTTCGAAAAGATATGTATCTGTTACGAATTAGACAAGAAGTATTTGTTTTTCATTCATAACATGAATTTAAGCGCGACGGTGTGAAAAATGATTAAAATATAGTTTAATGGGTTATACAATATTTGTATTACAAGCGTCATTAACATGTCATTTACATGATTTCCGCTAAAGGAAATTCATAGGTCATTGTAGAAATCGGTACTGTGGATAAAAAGGGAGGAGTTGGATTGACATGCTGTGATAATACAAACTTTAAACGGGAACTTTATCATATGGGAGGAATTGCGCATACCAAAAAAAAAGAAAAGAAGGTATATAATGTAAAGAGAGATTTAAAAAAAGGAAATAAAGAAGAGTGGGCAAGAGGAATGTAACACGCGGGAAATAGTGTATTTATATATGCATTTGATACTACTAAAATTAGATATATTTAATGTTGTTATCAAATGACAGTGAAATACCCTATTGAAACAATGCCTCAAGCTTTTCCGACTCAACGCTTTATATAGTCAGTTAATCTGAGACAAGTTCATGCCACACGTTAAGTTTATTTTACATTATTCTACCCTTAGGGGAGCACAGATTGAATCTGGACAGGTCATTACTTGTCACCCGACTCCTTCAATTGGCTATTAACAACACTTTTATCTTTGCAATGATCCCTCATGTCTTTCTAAGGGATAGACAACATTTATTTCTTCCCACATGTGTCAGCGAGAATTACGAGAAACCATCCTCTGGAATGGAGTTCCTCTGAAAGGGAGTTCAAATGTTCTTTTCCCCGTAAAATTGTGAATAGGTTCTATCTCTTATTGTCTTTCATCACGTTCATAATCCTTCTCTCTCTCTCTCTCTCTCTCTCTCTCTCTCACTCTCTCTCTCTCTCTCTTATTGTATCCCCTTCTCATACTCTTTACCTGTCTTTTTTTTTAAACCCTTCAAATAATTAGGTATTTCAGTCATGACTGTATTATGAAGTAAACGTACTAGATATAAATGATTGTAGTATTCTCTCACCTTCAGTATATCTGGTAGAGGCTGCTCTGATCGTGGACTTTCAGCTCGTCTTTCTGGTTGGTAGAAATAAGAGGAATTTTGAAAAGTATGTAAATTTAAAAAATAATTTCTGAATATGTTGGTGGATTTAAACTAAGTTTTTTTTTGCTCCTATGTTTTGGAGGTTACACTTTTTAAACGTCAAAATGCACCGACGCACAAACATGAAACAAAATAACACACCACACAAACGCACACGCCCGAACCCACACACACCATCGATATCTATGCACAATATACTTAATGTTTCGAAATTGTTGCCAAATAAACGTGCGTTTATCTGGATAAAAAAACATACATAAGACTTTCGCACATTTATCAATGTCTGGTTTTATGCAAATTATTTTCGAAATACACATGTAGAAAAGTAAGTTACATTTAGAAAAGAAAAGTTTATTCTCAGAAAATGACCAGCACACAATGTTATTAAATGTCTGAGTCGAGTTCATACTTCTAACCTAATATTACAGATATTGCACCCTTTTTTTTATTTCAAGGGAATAAATTCTCTTTGCAATTTCATCTTTCGTGATTAAAATTTCCCTAATTTCTGAATTGCGAATGTATAACGCACAAATGTTCAGGGAAGCATAATAACGTCTAGAATTAAGTAGCATCTTTGCTGATGATTTTATTCTTTCTCTATGCATGGTTTGTCAGGAATACTTACTGCTTTGGTAGATTCTGGCGCATTTGGTCCAGCATTCTGCAAATGGGAAACCAAGAAATAAGACGTCGATTTAGGGTATTGATTGGTAATTACTCACAGTTAACATTACCAAGACACAGTGATCATTTGGAAAATTATATAAAATATACATGAAGAAAAAAATCTATAATGCTATAGAAATATGATGCATCTCAAAGCTTAAGGTATGCAAATCACGTTCCACATAAGGAAATGTTAAATAACAACAGTTTGTTAATAACATTCTAAAATAAAACAAATGAAAGCTTTAGTTCCGTTGCGTACAATGATTTAATTTACTGAATAAATCAATCATAAAACATAATTATTTAAACATATTTGTGGCTTACACCCAGTAAAAAAACAAAAACAAACATAATTAATCAATCAATAATATGAAAAATAACACTTCATGTTTTCCCTAATAAGTTTAAAACCTATCAAATATTCAATCTTCGCAAATCCATTGCTGGAGAAAATATTGAACACACTGTACTTACAAATGATCATAATTCACTTCTCCTTCTCTTCCTTTTTAAATCTCATAAATAGAGTGTCATGCTACCTAAAGTCTACATGTACATGATTACCATAATGAAAGTCAAAAACGTTTCTCGTTCGAAAAAGAAGCAAACTATATTGTACGAAATATTATAAAATATATTAAAAAAATGTATCCAAAAAACTTGAAGGACCAACTGACTCACTTTGATTTCCTGTTCTGCATTTACACGCTGTGGAATCTGAAAGAAAAAAATAAACAAAAATGATCAGGGTAAACTTTTACTGGTTGACATGAGGAACTATTCAATATCATCCATGTACAAACAAAAACAAAGTCTTTCAACAATTTAAACCTAAAGCAATGTCTATCGCATTTTGTGATCCGAAAATTGTTTCTATGGGATATACAAGATATTCTTGCTAGTGCAATAGAGTTGATTTTTTTCGAAAGTTTTCACAATCCTGTTTGATGTAGACAACTATTTCTATAAGTTTAATGAAGACTCTGCGCGTATAGATATGTTCTTTAATCGCTGTTAAGGATTATTTTTTTAAATTGTTGAACTCCATAACTATCTTAGCTGGCATATGGAGACACACCGTGCACTATTCTTATCACAAAAACACTTAATGTATATCTAGCGATGTATTAAATTTATGCCATTACACTTACATAGCGCGTATAATTTTGTATAATTTAGGCTAGAGCATGTCTTAGCGTTAATAAATATCAGACTTACACTTTGTCATATAACATTTCAATTTCAGTTTAGATAACACATGCTTAAATCACTGGTCAGTGACCTCTATGAGACACCTTAATCTCAAGGATAGGAAGTTTGAGAAAAAAAGATCAGTGCATAAATACTTTAAAATATCAAAAACGATGAGAAAGACTTTGTAAAAATCCACCAAAGGGCAACTGGCTATTAAAGAAGGTTGATTTGTGTTTACGCGATCATGTTTTTATTATGATATTAAGGGGTGCATACAGTGCGCTTAAATTGCGTTTCATGTAAATGCCTTTATTCGGCATTCACTTATATAATTGGGAACGAAGTTATGTAATTGTGTTCTATTAAACATACGCGATTCTAGATGCATTTGTTACACAAAAGGGTGTGCGACGTTCTGGATCGCGTGAGTTTCCAAGCTTTCAATTGGAGTCAAGTTTTGGCAGGTGTTTTTCCAAGGTAATGAAACCTTTGTATAGAAAGGCTCTAAAAGGAGACATTTTGTCCTTAAGAGAACTTGATATTGCTGCACGCGTCATTCTACTTTTCTGTTAAGAGAAGAGATGGTCGTGTTTTAGACGACACATTTTAGCGCCAAACAAGGGGCAAGGTGAGAAGGGGCGCGCGTTTCAAGTTCAGTCTTAAAAGGGTTCTATCTGTGGGTCCCTCGTGGTGAAAGGTGACGGTATAGAGCAGAGGAAAATATGAGCCACATAGAGATAGACAAAGAGAGACAGAGAAACAGAGAGAGAGAGAGAGAGACAGAGAGAGAGAGAGAGATCAAAAGAGATATAGGGGTATAAATACAACATTTGAAATGATAAAGACTATTTATATTTAATATGTTCATCGATGTTATAAGGGATAGAAAAGCAAATTTAACGTCGGGGCCAGTGAAAATAAAAGATCAAGAAATGCACTCATTTATAAATGAGTCAAGGATAAGTCTTCATGGTGTATACGTGCTACCATTGGTGGGTAAGATATAGAGTGAGAGGAAAAATAATCGTCTGAGTTTAGAAAACTTTCCATAAAATTCAACAAATATGTAGTTATATATTAAAGGTACATTGGTCCTTGGCTAGTTCAAACTTTACAGGTATTGTGTTTCAAATGATAATAATGTTGGTTCATGTTGATGCAGTATTTGAGATATTTATTGAATTCTAGACCCCCTCCCCTCCCCGCAAAAAGAGAGAATAAGGGGTAGAAGACATACAGCAAGTTATCGACATTCGATTTGTTTTTTTTCCAAAAATATTAATTAAAAATAATGAAAGACCAAATTACTTTTCTCTTAATGCACTTCTTCAGTAACCAGTAAGAGTATGCAAGTAAGCATGTGATTTATCACGGTTTGGCAATGGAACAAGAAAGTGTAATAAAAATAATACCAAAACATGGATATCTTGAATAGGAAATTCAAACATTCGAATATATTCTGCTCACTAATGTGTTTGAATGATACTTTGGATGGGACATTAACGTAATGATTTTTTTTCAGGAAGCGTTCTAAAATGTGCTCGTTATTCGTAATGCTTCATGAATACACATGACATAGCGAGAATGGGTATGTAAAGGTTATCGCTTAGATCACAAAAGTCAGGCTTTTCTGAAGACTTTCATCTAACAGTGGTTTTACAGCGGGAGTAGACTCCAAATCAAATTTGATACCCTTTCAAAAGAAACGTCCTTCTTTTCTTACACTGATGATCTGCAGCGATTTTAGCGGCTAATGTACGCGTGTCTGATAATATAAAGACTGACTTCGTCTTTCTTGCCGCTCTTCCCTGTTTTTTCCCATCTGAAATGAACGATTGCTCTTTAGCTTGGTCTTTTCTGTTGTGAGTGTGAAATTTCGCTCTACATTTAGGCATTCGATACCATAATGCAGAATGTAATTGGAATCGAAGTTCCAAGGTTGTATTCGATGTATAGGCATTGATTACATGCATGAAGACATAAGCTGTCAATGAGGACAGGCATTCATTTTAGGAAAGGTATCATTTGAAGAAAATTGAGGGCAGTTCAAGGCAGTATGAAAGCAAATTGGAAAACGATCGTTTCATGATTACAGAAGTTCCCATTTTGCTCTTCAGATTAAATCATTTCATGACGTTGGTGAAAAATCAGGATCATAATAAAGGGATTTTGTCCTTGAATGGATATTATACTACATGTACTAATTGACGCATGGTCATAATGTAAGTAAATAAAGTAATAATTTCAATAGAATCAGATACAAGAATGGAAAGAAACCTCATTTCCTTTTAAGACTGATATCATCAACAATTGAATAACCATATTTTTTCTTTACCATTACTGTTCTCATCATTATCGTCATATCATCATTTTCGTCACCATCATTATCATCAAATCACAATACATGTATCACCATCATTATCACCACCTTCACCACCATCCCCACCACCACCACTACCAACTATACCACCACCACCACCAACACGACAGCCACCACCACCAACACGACAGCCACCACCACTAACAACAAAACCACCACCACCAACACGACAGCCACCACCACCAACAACAAAACCACCACCACCAGTACCGCAACCATCAACACAATCACCACCACCACCACCACCACCACCAGGACAATCACCACCACCAATTCCACCACCATTACCATAAACAACATCTCCACCCGGACAACAGTGACAAAGACAACCACCAACACCATCTTCATTATCTCATAATCATTGCTACCATCATCACGAACATCGTCATAATGTGTACTCAAGCGCAGTTTTAGCAACCTTAGTAAAGGCCTTGCTTTTAAACATATATAACGCACTTAGTCCACGGGTATGTCACGATAAACTAATATAGGCAGATCACTTGTCGTAATCTTAAAAACAAACCCCGTTCATGATGGTAAACCTGTCCGTTAGCTGAGGATTTATGATACCACGGGGAAGGAACATGCTATTTAGCTTTCTGAATATTAATATTCATCAGGTTGTCCAAAATGATTGATACTTTTTACGTCAAAATATAACCTCTTGCGGGTATTTTCTGTTCATAGAAAATTGGACAAAAGGAACAGATCAAGAAAATCACAATGAACTCTAAGTTAAATCAATATAAAAAAATGATCATGCAAAATATGTAATACGTAGTCTGAAAGACATATGATCAAACAAATTAATAAAATCATTATTTCAAGACTGAAATTATTGTAATTCCAACATTTCAAAAACCTTTACATGTTTGAATGTCATATTTAACTCAAAATGAATTTGATCAAGTCGCTAGACAACTACATCTGTATTGTTACAACTGAGAAGGGCTATCAATAATACGAATATTTGTTAATGCGGTAATTTATGTTATTATTCATGGTTACAGTATCTTACTATTTCCACAAATATGTATAAGAAAAAAAAATATATATATGCAGGAAATCGAAAGAAACAAAGAAAAAAATATGATACACGTATACATAATTATGCCTATGTTTGTGCCATATACATTGATGATAGTCAGTTGTATAATGTTTTATAAAGAACTCAAGCAAAGGGGACAAACTCACTATAGAGCACACACAAATTGTTCTTTAGCCAAGGGTGGTGCTCCCTTTTAAGGGCAGAAATGCAAGCTGCACTGTCACTTTTTTATGATACAAATCAACCTATAAGGAACGGAGATACCTACTAAGTAGAGCTAACACGTCAACCGGTAGACATAAAAGCGGGAAAAATGGATCAATCTAATTTGTTACTTGACCTTCATGAGTTCACACCTGAGGGTAGAGTGGACTGAAAGGAAATTAAAATGTGAAACCTGTCTCCTTGATTGCAACTACCTATATCATTACCAAAGAGATGTCTAGACAACAGGCAAGGGATAATATAATGCATCATTTTTACGGAATCTAGTGGCTTTTTAGCCGGACTGTGTATCACAAGGTACTGGGTTCGAGTTCCTGTGAGACATTGATCTTCATTAGCCACAGCAAACCCAGGCGTAGTAATTAGGAAATAGTAGGATTATTCCGTGCGCCAAAAAACGGTTGCTGGAGCTAAAGTAGGGGTACCTATTCCGAACCTTTGGGAAATGCGTTCAGACGTTATATCATAATCATTATGAGCATTATCATCTTTATTGCTATTATCATTGTTGTTGTTGTTGTTATTTTGGTGTAGTTATTTAGTTGTACCATATATTCACTGAAATATAACCTGCATTTTAATAATAAACCATGCATTCTCTCACATATGACTCGTTTAAATGCTTTATCTAATGAAATGTATGGACATGATAATAACATTACACATTTCATACATGATTGGTATCGGTAAAATGTAGCGTATTCAAATTGTCCTTACAAGTAATAAAGTTGGTTTCTTGACAGTTTTTGCGATCGCGTTATTAGATGTATGGGGATGTATCAACACAGTTGAAGTCAATGACTGAAGATCAAACATATGAATTACGAATTTCTCAAAAACTATGTAGCTAAAAGATGTCTCGTGAACAGAGAGCGTCAGAAAATAGACAACGAGGTCTTGTTACAGGAGGGTGGAGGAAAAAAACATTACAATCAATTAAATTCAACAGATTTAAAATATTATGCCAGTTTAACACATCGTAAACAAGATTCATTTCAATTAATGTCTTGAAAACACACACAAAAAACAACAATCATTTAAACAAGCCTCCATGAGCGACTCGAAGCTAGAAGGGCTGTGACGTAAAAGAGAAGAACAGATCCCATCACGATATTATGCAGTGCCCTCGCCGCAGTAAGATATTTTGCTTTTCTGTGGATTTCAACGTACGTGATTTATCCGGGGGGGGGGGGGGGGGGTCAGATTTGGCATGGACAGGGGTGTGCTGCTCTAGCCTAGAAACCCCTACCCATTTTTAAGGGTCATTTTGGCAGATTTTTCTCGATATAGGCCCATTTTTCATACTTTCGGGTGTTCGCCATGCAAAACCCGAAAATTTGAAACGTCACTATGTCGCCGGCATGACATCAGATTGCCCTTGCTGGGACTAGGGTATGATTGGAAGCCTATGTCTGCGCACCTTAATTTGACCTGGAATTGAACAAGAAATTCTCTCCAATTCCTCTAATGCTTAATTTGTATTATTCCTGACATTCTACAAAGTAAGTCTGTTGAGGATTTTTTTTTTTAATTCGAAAAAGAACAACATCATTTTCAGAAGATAAGACGGTCGTGTCATTTTGACACTGCAAAAACAAAGGTGCCCATTTCTGCGGACTCATTTTACACGCAGTTCGGGATTTTTGACGTGAAAAGACAACTTTTCTCTCTCTCTTTCATTTCTTTGTACATAGCTCGATCATTTTAACATCAAGACTTTTCCAAAATAAAGGTTACATTCTTTCCCCAACTATAGTAAGCGTGTAAACTAATCTACTGATAAAACGGGTTTAGCTGTTCTCTGTTTACCTTCCTTAGAAATATTCACCCTTTTTGCCTGTTCATATTAAAATATAGTGAACAAATCGGATATATAAAAAAAAACAAGATTTATTTTCATACTCGGCCGATGAACAAGGAACCTTGCTTTTAAGGAAAAAAGGCTAAGAGGAACCCAATTAAAGATAGGTTTAATGATAAAAAGTTTTTCACGGGGAGACTGTTTAGTTCTTGTTCGCAAATGAATAAAATTCCCAGGATTAATTATCTACAAAATAAAAACCTAGGGGAGGAAATCTAAATAGTACATGGGGAAAATCATAAAATTATCTTTGTCCCTCCTCCCTCTCTCCATTCTTCTTATATTTTTTTAGGGGCTTACTTCATTCTTTTTAATCTTGTTATTACCACCCTCACGTATTATGATCACGCATCCCCATTCCATACTCTACCAATCTGTTTCAACCATTGTCCCTTAAGAGAATATTACAAACAGTTTTGTTTGTCTTCCTATTCGTCTCATTCTGTGAAATAAAAACGAGGCATGCAACAACTCCCTGGTCAGATTAAATGAATAATTTTTAACCGTTTTTTGCTGAATATAGTTTAGGGCGATTTAGATTGAAACGCTCACTAAGGATACCCAGCAGAATGAGTATGATATTATTTTTCTTATCGAGGGATAGGATAATGACCTCATTAAAGGTATTAATGACAAGTCGCAAACTCACAATACTTTTGCCCTCTTCCTGTTGCGTAAAATGGTTGATTTCTAAACGTTTAGAGTTACATGCTGTTACACCATTGATACAATATCATCGATTTTTTTCTTCTTCTAGAATTGCACATAATGGAGCGATATTCAAGGCCGGAAGATGTAGGAAATCTCCTCAAGATTATCACCAGTCATCCTTCTAAACATACAATCGTTAGTTTTAGGTATGTTTTATGATTTATTGTTATTTACCAAAAAATAGTTCAAAAGTATCAGAAATGTGTTAGTCATCATCATCTACCAGAAGACAAAAAAATATTAAAAAAACTTTTATCTCATTTGTTGTATTGGTGATGCCACCGTAATGACTTCCTCTTGAGATTCGGGATGCTCCTTCGTTAGATTCTTTTAAATCCTCCCTTAAGACATTCCTTTTTAATTCTCCCTGTTAATCCTCCCTGTTAGTCTGTAGCTTTAATGTGTTTTTCACGGTAGATGTAATGTAATTGCCTTAATTTGAATTTGTAATGTTTTGCCCTAAAGTTAATTGTATTCTATTGTATCTATATGTATTGACTAGATGTATCTGTGCCTATGCATTTTGAATTAATTGTAGGTTGATTAGTATATATTAATTATAGTTATTGAATGTATTATTATCTAAGTACAACTTTGTAAAGCGCTTAGACACATTGTAATAAGCGCTATAGAAATATAATGTATTATTATTATTAATCGTGACTCTTCGTTCCAAATGGGTGTAATAAAATGGATACATTACATCATTCTTGTAAAATATCTGTAAATATCATATTCTTCCTTTTCCAAGTGACATTTTTACCTCTACAGTGAAAAGGCAATGAATTGTGCGTTTGGGAAACGCATTGATTCTTTTTAAACCGTTGGCGAGGGACATTACAAAGACACACTACTTTGGATTTATACTTTATACATGTAGTGTGGATTGAGCAGAGATCAGGATGAAGGCGTCATGCCCTTCATCTCCGTAATCATCTGGTGCTAATTCCGATGAATTGCAACGATTTATGTACTGAGTTTACCACTCATAAAGGTGCTGAAGATGTCATAAAAAGGAGATGAGATTTAGTGAGAGAGAGGGAGAGGAGAGAGAGAGAGAGAGAGAGAGAGAGGGGGAGAGAGAGAGAGAGTGAGAGAGAGAGAGAGAGAGAGAGAGAGAGAGGTATAGATTTTCATATGTCATGGTCAAGTACCACATAGCCCGTTAATCACAGATCAATACGTTTGCGAAAGGATAACTGCGCTTAAAGGTCGGCAAGAGTAGAACGAATCTCAGCGACCCGGGTTCAGCAAAAGACCAAGCAGTGACGAAACAACAACCCATTTTTCAGCATCATGAGTATGGATTATCATGCAATATTAACAAAGATAATATCTACATAATGTTATAAAAAGGCGGTTGTTACGGTGCATAATGTTTCATACATCTCCTTTAAAAAGCAGCTTTAAGAGTTGCACTTGTGATGAGTCTAAAAGTTACAGTCACGGCAAAGAACAAGTATTATAATTACACAGGGGTGGCAGATACTGAATTTA